ATAATACTCCTGAGAAAAGCCAACTTACTGCAAAAAGCTTCTGTTTTAGAAAACATTTTAGAAAGGTTCATGTAAATTAAATGTTATCTTTCTAACTCAGATTTCTTTTTCTGAAATCTGTTACGGGTTTTCCATCGGCAGAAGCTCCTAGGACCTCTGCTTTAAGTTACTCTCTATGAAGACATGTGGTGGCGGAAGTTGCTTTAAAGTAACTTGAAATTCAGTGTCAGAGAAATTCAGGTTTTTTTGTGAGAGTGACTGTCCTCCTCCCCCGTGAGCACTTGGTTAAGTTTCAGTTTTCGTTTGGGGACACCTTACAGTATGTCTACTAAGGTCTGCAGGTCCAGAGTTATTTCATTTCTTGTCCTTAATCTGTTGCACAACGGGACCCACTGAGGGGCCACACAGACCACACCGTGAGAGAAACCACTTGGTGATAAACGCACAGGCAGGCGGTGTGTGTGTACTGGGCACAGCTGCTCAGTGCCACTCCTTGTCAGGCGGGTGACAACCCCAGGAAGGACCAGTCTTCCTGTTTCTTCAAGAAGAGACACATTGGTTTTCAAATCTTAGTGTTTTTCAACATTTGTTCACCAAGTTTTTCAAGCACATGGTTTCAGAAACCATGGGTGAAACAAAACCTTTGGGGAGCAGATGTGCCCTGCTTCCCACCGTGGATCCTAGCTGGTCTGCAGAGGTCAAACCCTTTCTTCTACTTCAGACACAGAATAGGGCTTTCAGCCACAGCACCTTCCGATCGCACAGTGAGCTGAAAAGCTGTGCTCTGAGGACATTCACGGCCACGTGTAATGGTTTAGCAGAGGGCACTGGTAAGAAGGGAGAGGGAGGTATTAAAGCCACCAAATTACGTCTGGGAACAGTTTCACATTTGTCCCTCCTGCGTTTGCAGGTTTGCGTTCTTCATTTTAAACTGTTGCATTGCCTCCGAGATGGCAGACTTGCTGAGGGCATGAAAGTCTGACTGCTTCTTTTTGCCTGACACTCCCTTTCTCCCTCTGTCCACGTGGATCTGACCTCTTCAGGGCATTGGGGAGCTACCTCTTCCTGAGCTCCTCTGAGCACCATGACCTTTGCCTTTAGCACTAGATCATTGTTCCTAGGGCGTCTTTATTTCTCATCGCTCCATGAACATCTTACTTCCCTTGCTACTCTACAAACTTTCTTTCTTTTTTGGCAGTACTGGGACTTGAACTTGGAGCTTCGCACTCGTTAGGCAGGCGCTCTACCACTTGAGCCATGCCTCCGGCCATTTTTGCTCTGGTTAGTTTGGACACAAGGTCTTGCTTTTTACCTAGGCCAGCCTGAACTACATTCCTCCTATTTTATGTTCCCTATAATCTCAGCTACTAGGGAGGCAGAAGTAGGAGGATCACAGTCTGAGGCCAGCCTGGGCAAAAGCATAAGACACTATTTGAAAGCAAAAAGACAAGTGGTAGAGCACTTGCCTAGCAAGCATGAGGCCCCAAGTTCAATCCCCAATACCACCAAAAAAACCTGTTTTTAAACCAACTGTGCAAAAGTAAATATAACACACATGAATTACCTAAAGTTATGAGGATGTTTTAATGACAAATACAATGGTACTTCTTATATACGTTACTCTGTCTGTAACAATGACAAAGATACTGTGTTGACGTGGCCTTTTGCTAACTATTGTAATGGAACACTCTGGGAGAACAGTAGCAGGTCCCACAAATGTGGGTGTATTATATGTATGTATTATAGACCACACCAGGACACCCAACGGTACTTACTGTGCATAGGCCCTCTGTACCTGCAGGTATACATTCAACTAGCCAGGGCTGAAAATATTTAGAAAAAATTGTATTTGTACTGAACATATATTTTTGGGAGGTCACTATTCATTAACCAATACAATATAATAATTTATATAGCACTTACATTGTATTAGGCTATAATAAAGCTAGAGATGTCTTAAAGTGTTCAGGAACGTGTTCATGAGTTATAAACAAATACACCAATTTTTAAGTAAAGGACTTGAACATCTGTGGCTTTTGGTACGCACCCGGGGTCCTGGAACCAGTAACCCCAGGATATGGAGGTATGACTGTGTTCCCCAGTGGGAAGTACAAAGCACTGTGAAGAGTTTAGGAAGAAGTGGTAGTTTTGAATAAAAATAAATAAATAAATGACTAAACATAGACCTAAGCCAAGATAGAAGTGATCTTTTTGAATCATATAGCATGTGTTTTGTCAGATCTGAGACTCTTTGTCAGGCTGGACAAAGAATCGAAATAAAGTATGGACTTCAGAGCAGCCAAGCCAGATGAGAAGATACAAGTCAGTGGAGAAAGTAGATTCCACAGGGTCCCAGAGCAGAGAGACCACAAGGAAAGCAAGAAAACCGTCAGCAGAGATTGTCACTGGCCTGTGACCCAGTGAAGGACAGGCTCATGAGTCTGTTCAGGAACATGGAGAAATCCATAAGCTTTCCTTTTCATTGAATTCCATTCCTGTTTATAGAAATAACAAAAAAGCAAGTCTGTTGGGGCCTTGAGGCCAGCCAAGGTAAAAGTTAGTGAGACCTTGTTTAAAAAAAAACAAAAAACAAAAAACAAGCTGGGTGTGGTGGTGCACGCCTGTCATCCTAGCTCCCTAGGTGGCAAAGGTAGAAGAGTCTTTCTCCAGCCAAAGCAGGAGACCCCATCCAAAATCCAAAACCAATGCAAAGGACTGGGGCGTGGCTCACGTGCACAGCACCTGCCTGGCGGGCACAAGGCCCAGAGTTCAAATCCTAGTGAGGTCAAATAAGGAGGGAAGGAAAGGAGAAGGGAGGAAAGGAAAGAGGACTGACACACACACTTCTAGAAAAGACTCATGAAAAAATTACAATTAACGACAGGGCAAACAAAAATAGAAGAGCTAATTTTAAATAAAATGGCTAAAAATGGCTACAATGATTAGCAATAAAAGTTAGTTCTAAGCTTTCTTGTCTGGAGAACTAAAACCGAAACATGGTGAATGGATTGTTCTCAGCTGAATTGAAGAATTTGTTAGTAATAGGTGCTTGGTTTCCTGTGTCTGAATGATACAAGAATTTCTCAAACGGATGCTTATATAAAAGATGCTAAATCACATACTGGGCCCAGCTTATAATAGCAGCTTTACAAAAAGGTAAAGAGAAGTCCTTTGTGTGGCCATCTGGTCTTTCCCTGAATAAGTGCCACAAGCTAAATGCTGTGCCCCAGTGCTAGGGAGTTGTACCATGGGCAGTTAGAGAAGTGTACCAAGCTGTGTGGCTTTCTGGAGACAGCTCACACATAGCACAGAGAAATGGAGGGAATAGCTAGTTTAATCTGTAGACCGGGGGGGGGAGGTGTTTGTCAGTTTTATTTTTTAACTGCAGGATGCTATATGAGTAGGTAATGAATATAGTGAGTTGCTGTTTGCTTTTTTTTAAGAGAAAGGTTCTAGAACAGAACTGGATGCATCATGCTTAGGAAAATATTAATTTCATTTCTATCTCAGGTCACTATGGACTTCTCACAGTGGGTAGATAAGAGGCCACTGCCTTGGTCATCTTGATGGGAGTATCAGTTAGGAGGTTCTGGTCATCCCGGGCTCCCAGTATAGGACTTATGTAGAGAATAATAAGATACTTGCCCCCACTGGTGTATGTGCGTGTGAGAGAGAGTGTGGTGATCAGTCTCGGTTGTCAGTTTGATTAGATTAGATGTGTGTCTGTTAAGGTATTTCCAGAGAGAATTGACTAAGAGAGCAAGACCTGCCCTGGATGTGGGCAGCACCTTCCCATAGGTCAAGGGGGGAAAAGAGAAAGCCCCAAATGTAGGAATCATCACTCTCTCTGCTTCCTGGCTGCCATGATGTGAGCTGCTGTGCTCTGCCCCGCCCTCCCCACCATGATGACTAAAACCAGAGACAAAAATAAGTTCTTCCTCCCTTAAGTTGTTTTGCTCCGGTATCTGTCACAGCAGTGAGAAAATCTGAATAACACAGAATAACACAGGTAAGGAAGAGCAAAGATGGGACCGTCAGACAAGAACGAAAGCCACCATGCCTTTATGCTGTCTAACTTAGGAACCTGTGATGGCATTCATTATTGTAGACTTAGAAACATACTTTCCTGGTTTTATTTCTGTGTCTTGTCTGTCTGTCTGTCTGTCTCTCTCTCTCTCTCTCTTTTGAAAACCATAGTCTGCTTTGGCTATACTGAAGGGGAATTCAGACCAGGAATGGGGCAGTCCCCACCAGGGCCTCTGGTGCAGAGAGAAGGGGTGTCCCTGGAGGTGAGGCTCAGTGATTCAGATGGCCACCCCCCATAGAGAGGCCTGTCAGAGCACAAGTTAGCATGGCTGCTCCCCTGCTGCCTCTGTGAGCAGGCAGCACCTTCACATATAGGTACCAATTACCTCTAGGAAAATCTTTCAGATCATTTTCCTGCTTCCTGTACTATGTTTGGATTAGATCATCAGGGTTATCTCTGAAAACAGGAGGGGCTGGGGTGTGGCTCGAGGGTAGAGCGTTTGCCTAGTGTATGCAAGGCTCTGGGTTCAATCCCCAGCACTGCGAAAGAAAAATAAAAGAAAGGCTGAACGGAAACAGGAGGCTTGTGGAAGACCATGAACCCGCCCAATTCCAGCGGTCCCAGGCAGCAGCCTTGAGCCTAGAGGAGCCCCTGCACATTTGGAATGGCAAAAACTCCCCCTCCCCAAATTTGGACATGGAGGTACAGCACAGCTTTGGAGGAGGCAGAGAAAAGTTCTTGGAGGGCGCGAGCAATGCCATGAGGACAGTCTGGAGCAAAAAATGATTTAGTTCCTACTGTTGACCCCAAGTCTTGGGAAGAGTGACAGAGTGAAATAAAAACCTGAATTCTCACACACACACACACACACACCCACCCTCCCCCCAAGAAAAGGTCTCAGAATTGCAACTAGTCGAGAAAGGAGGAAGCCACTGTGCCAGGGACTCTGACCATTTCTCTGCTCTTGTTTCAGATGACAGTCATGTCCCTTTCCAGGGACCTCAAGGACAACCTTCACAGTGACACAGTGCTCTCCATCTTGAATGAGCAACGCATCCGGGGCATTTTATGTGACGTCACCATCATCGTGGAGGATACCAAGTTCAAAGCCCACAGCAATGTCCTGGCCGCTTCAAGCCTTTATTTCAAAAACATCTTCTGGAGCCACACCATCTGTATCTCCAGCCACGTCCTCGAGCTGGATGACCTCAAAGCCGAGGTGTTTACGGAGATACTCAATTACATCTACAGCTCCACCGTGGTCGTCAGGAGACAGGAGACAGTCACGGACCTCGTAGCTGCTGGGAAGAAGCTGGGAATATCATTCTTGGAAGACCTCACCGACCGCAGCTTTGCAAATTCCCCAGGCCCCTATGTATTCTGCATCACCGAGAAGGGCGTGGTTAAAGAAGAAAAAAACGAGAAAAGGCACGAAGAGCCAGCCATCGCTAACGGACCCAGGATCACAAATGCATTTTCCATCATTGAAACAGAAAATAGTAATAACATGTTTTCTCCACTGGACCTGCGGGCGAACTTTAAAAAAATGTCTGACTCCATGAGAACGGGCAGCCTCTGTCTAGAGAGGACAGAGGTCTGTCACGAGGCGGAGCCCGTGCGCACGCTGGCCGAGCACTCCTATGCGGTGTCCTCCATCACTGAGCCTTACAGAAGCCAGCCAGCACGTGAACAGGACAGTGACAGCAGCGCCCCTGGCAAAACGGGGAAAGAAAGTGGTGAGGCTCCAGGAGCCACCAAACCGAAGACATGCCGAAAGCCAAAGACACTCTCCCTACCCCAGGACTCTGACTCCACTGCAGAAAAGACAGCAGCCCCTCCAGTACCTGACCCAGAGGTCAATCAAGAAAGTAGTCCCCAGCCAGCTGCAGTGCCCTCTCATTCAAAATCTCCCATCCACGAAGACGTCCACCTGCCCAGAGAAGATGAAAATCTGCCCTCTGATGAGTCAGGGCCACCAGCCACCGAGGTGCCACCTCTCATTTACAACTGTAGCTGCTGTTCCAAATCCTTCGAAAGCAGCACTCTGCTCAGTGCCCATATGCAACTTCACAAGCCTACCCAGGAGCCTCTGGTGTGCCAGTACTGCAACAAACAGTTCACCACGGTGAACAGGTTGGACCGGCATGAGCAGATCTGTATGCGATCAAGCCATGTGCCCGTCCCAGGGGCAAACCCACGCTTTTTAGAAAACTATCCCACTATTGGGCAGAGCGGAGACGCCTTCCCAGATGCAGAGGCTTTACTCCCTGAAAATCGGGTTGGTGAATTTCCCAGTACCGGAAGTACCTTGCCAGACACAGACCACATGGTTAAATTTGTGAACGGGCAAATGCTCTACAGCTGCGTCGTGTGCAAACGTAGTTACGTGACTTTGTCCAGCCTCCGGAGACACGCGAACGTTCACTCCTGGAGGAGAACGTACCCTTGCCATTACTGCAACAAAGTGTTTGCTTTGGCAGAGTACAGGACAAGACATGAAATCTGGCACACTGGGGAGAGGCGGTATCAGTGCATTTTCTGTCTGGAAACTTTCATGACCTACTACATACTAAAGAACCATCAGAAGTCTTTCCACGCCATAGACCACAGGCTTTCCATCAGTAAAAAAACAGCAAACGGAGGCTTGAAGCCCACCGTCTATCCGTATAAACTGTACAGGCTGCTGCCTATGAAATGCAAGCGAGCCCCTTACAAGAGCTACCGGAATTCTTCTTCTTATGAGAATGCTCAAGAAAACAGTCAAGCCAGTGAGTCTACACCTGGCGCCTACGTTGGCCGGAACTCACACAGCTCTGAACTACCTACACTGAATTTTCAGGACAGTGTGAACACCTTGACCCACAGTGCAGCCACCCCGCTGGCAACATCACGTCAGGACGCACCCACTTCTGCCAATGACCAAAATGCACAGGGCACCAAATGGGGAGAGGAGTCACTGAAAGCTGGTCTTGCCAGTAAGTTTTGCTCCACCGAGGTGCCCATGTCTTCCACTGAAAATGCTGTCAGCCCTGCAGTCCAGGCCGGGGATGTGCCCGTGTCATCTCTGAGTAATGGCAGTGAGAAGGCAGCCTCTGTCATCAGCTATGGGGGCTCAGCACCGTCTGTCATCGTGCACAGCAGCCAGTTTTCATCTGTGATCGTGCACAGCAATGCTGTGACTGCAATGACCAGCAGTAACCACAGAGCCTCTTCAGACCCGCTGTCAGTCAGTCCCTGAAAGACGACAGCAAGCCTGAGACAGATAAGGTGGGCAGGTTTGCAAGCAGACCCAAAAGCATTAAGGAGAAAAAGAAACCGATTGCATGTAACAGGGGAGAAGTGGCAGAGGAGTCAAAACACATTGCAGATGCTGGAGGGGCAGTGAGCAAAACCACAAGTACTGCTGAAGAAACCAGTAAGATTGAAACCTACATTGCAAAACCTGCTCTGCCCGGGACCTCCACAAATAGCAACGTTGCACCCCTCTGCCAAATAACGGTGAAAATTGGGAATGAAGCCATTGTCAAAAGGCACATCCTTGGATCCAAATTGTTTTACAAAAGAGGGAGAAGACCCAAGTATCAGATGAAGGATGAGCCACACACCCAGGAGAGTGACCCAGAAGCTCCTGCAGACAGCCCCCTGGAACTTTGCCAATCCGAGTGCGTGGAGATGAGCGAAGTCTTTGATGATGCAAGTGACCAGGACTCCACAGACAAGCCATGGCGCCCTTACTACAACTACAAGCCCAAAAAGAAATCCAGACAGTTGAGAAAAATGAGGAAAGTCAACTGGAGGAAAGAGCCCGGGGACAGGAGCCCAAGTCACAAGTATAAGGACCCCGCAGAGCTGGACTGTGCCGTGGGGAGGCCACCCCCAGAGAAGGCCTTGGAGGAAGAGGAAAATGAAGAGATGCCCAAGCTGCAGTGTGAACTCTGTGACGGAGACAAGGCGGTGGGTGCTGGACACCCAGGCAAGCCCCACCAGCACCTCACTTCCAAGCCTTACGTCTGCGAGCTCTGCACCAAGCAATTCCAGAGCCCGTCCACGCTCAAAATGCACATGAGGTGTCACACAGGAGAGAAGCCGTACCAGTGCAAGACCTGCGGACGCTGCTTCTCCGTGCAAGGAAACCTTCAGAAACACGAACGCATCCACCTGGGCGTGAAGGAGTTCGTCTGTCAGTATTGCAACAAGGCCTTCACGCTGAACGAGACCCTGAAGATCCACGAGAGAATCCACACTGGGGAGAAGCGTTACCACTGTCAGTTCTGCCTGCAGGGGTTTTTGTATCTTTCCACCAAAAGGAATCACGAGCGGAGGCACATTCGGGAGCATGACGGGAAAGGCTTTGCTTGCTTCCAGTGTCCCAAGATCTGCAAAACAGCTGCTGCCCTCGGGATGCACCAAAAGAAACACTTATTCAAAACCTCAAGTAAGCCTGAGAAAACAGGTGACGCATGCCACGAAAACTCAGATTCCTTGGAAAATACACATGACGTTGATTCAGATGACAGTGACCAAAAGGACAGTGGACAAACCATGGCTGACAGTGTCCTTTGAGCAATCCCAGTTAGAAAAATCTTCCAGTAGATAAGTTTGTGGGATTTTTTAAGTTGTTTTTAAGTTTAGTTTTCTTTTGTTCACATAACAGTCATGAAGGAGTGAAATGTTTTTATTTTTGTTGGTTTTTTTTTTTTTTTTTTTAAGTCTCATTTGTGAAAACTCCAGAAAAAAAAGGATACTGAGATCTACTTTGGGTGTTAACACTGACTTCATGCAAAGGGCACAGAAACAAAGTAGCTGAATCTTCCCACATCTAAGGACCTGGGGAAAGTTAATGAAGTTCTTAGCTGTGGTATTTCTCCCCGTGAAAACAGGAGTGGAATCTTAACCTAATTTTAGACTTTCTAGTTGATGCAAATAGGAACTGGCTGCTGCACTGTCTTTAGTCACTGGTGAAAATAAAGCTCAGATATCAGGATAGTATTTTCAAAATAACATTAACCGGTAAATGCATTCTGACAGTATTTATTCCCATCCAGCTTCTGCACTACTCAAATTTGTTTAAATTAATGGATCCAAATGAAATACTTAACGATGTAGCTGAAAACGTATGTAATGAGTAACCTACAGTAGGACTTTCACACATTAGCTAGAACTACTTTTCTGCATCATAGCCTTTGTAAGATACAGATACACATCACTGGAACTTTGAACGGTCCACACCCCCCGTAGAGAATTCTAACGAGCTATAGATCTGCACACGATGAGGACCGGCATGAAACTTAGTAGGATGCACACTGAATCTGATTTAAGAGCATGCGTGTGCTTCAGGCTGGGATGCCGGACGCATGGCCGAGCTGTTACTAGAGCTGGCCTGCTCAAGTCACAGAACCATAGGTCCTGCCTTATCTACGGAGGAGGCCTCCCCAGGACTTACCTTTGATAACTGGGCCTTAGAATACTTTGCAGCGGCCCCACCGCAGAGAACGAAGAGGGTCCAGTTCGCCTGAAACTCTCTGCAGTCTTCCACTCATTGAAAGGCCACGGATGTGGGGGTGCTGTTCCAAACAGACTCAAGGGTTCCAATAAGCTGATGTGTCTCCTTCCCCTGAAGGAGTGTCCAGGAGGTTGGGCCCAAGACACAGCTGTGGTGGTGAATTCCCAGGCACTTGAAAGTGACAGAGAGCCTAATCCCTGCAATTGCTAGCCAACTTGGAGATCGTGCAGCTCACAAGGACATAGTAGGATTAAATAAAAGGACGGGAGAAACCCCACACCCTTAATGCCTGGCACGGGAAGAGGAACGAGGACCTTACTTGCCTCACACGGTAGCTTTGTTTCTGAGGGGTGGGGAAGTGAGATGTGGGGTGGCAAGGTTTTGTCCCTAGTTTATAGGATTCAAATACATCCACAAAGCCCGACGCTTTATCTTCTATGTTCAGACATCTAGCTCCCTTGTTAAAAATGTGCTTAAGTTTCCTAATGTTCTTTTACACTGACCCACACCATCAGCACTGCCCTACAGAATATTATTTCATGTGGACTGAGGTCCTGAGAAGCTGTAGCTCATGATTTTTGACTCTTCAAACTGCCAGAATAAGAGGGAGAGAGAGGCCATCCCTATCCTCTGATCACCAGTGTGAGCAGAATTCGGAACTCAGTTCAAGGGCAGCCAGCACATCAGATTTATCAGATGGAAACCCAAGGTCGTCCAAGGTTGGAAGGTTATCCTCATGAAGAAGTAGCTCAAAGGACTCCGGTTTCTCTCAACCAGTGTTGTGATGTCTCCATGAAGAAGGCTTAGTATGAATTTGAGTGGGCAGGGAAACATTTAAACACCCAGAAAAGGACATGATTCAAGTTGACCTTTTTCTACTGTAGTACTTTGCCATTAAGGAATCCCAATATTGTACCTGCATTTATCTTTTGTTCATCTACTTTCACTTACATTCAGTATTATACAGTAGAGAAGAATGGGAAGATGCAAACGAATTCAGATTTATTTTATATGTTGTATATATGTATACCTGGACCATCTGTTTGGGTTTGTTAAGGAGATAGTCACCAAGGGCTTATGAAAATCACTTTTGAATTGATAATTAGAATATTGAATAAGCAATCCTGTGATCCACTAATTTGTTTTATCTCAGTTAGGATAATAAATCAATTATGTATTTTAGTTATTTCAATTTGAGTTAATTACAAATATAAATTATATGTAATGATGTCTCCCAGCCCTTATATGTGGATATTTTTTAAGTGAACTTGTATGCTGATAATTCTAGACCAAAGTACACATGGCAGAATATTTATACATGGAAAAAAGTAATTTTGCAAATATTTTCTATAACTGTATTATTCATTTAAAATGTTGATAGCTTGTGTTAGTTTCAGGGAGGGGTGTATATTTTGATAAAAAAATACTTGACTTTGTAATTCTGTATACTCTATACAATTTATAGCAGAGCCGTTTTAAGACAACCTGGACACATTTTTTTGTTGATCGTGAAAGTTCTCTGAGTGATGTTTAAGTACGCATTGACTACATACATAATGACCAAGCCGAGTTTAAGTAAGTGTAAACAGTGGACATACTGTATGCTGTACAAGAGATGCTGTCATTTGCTGGTTTAGCATCTGTATTTTGGTTAGAAGATATTATTAAATGCAGATGTTAAGAGTTGGAAAAGTCTAATTTTATTTTTAGAGATAATGAACATAAATTTGTTTTTGCTTGATTAAAATAGCTTATTCCTACATCAAGTCTCTTTTCAAATGTCCTCACGTTCTGTACAGCTGTTACATCTGTGTGAGTTACAGCTTTGTTACACTTATTATTCATTCAGTATATTTCTGTTCCTCATTCACATCTCATGCACTACTGACATGCTTAGGACTCAAATGGATTATGGTATTAAAAACGGTGTAAGACACATGGACCGCTTCTGATAATTGAGTGCTTCGGCTAGGCCCGATACTGGAATGATGATCAGAGGGAAATGCTCTCTTCAAAGAATTGTGTTCTGTTCACCCACGGGAAACTGATTACATTGAAGGAGTACCAGGCATTTGGCCATTTTTTACAGAGGCTATTCACTCTCAGCCCCTACCCCTGAGTGGACTTCATCATCTTTTTTTACTGACTTTGAGAAGGTCATATAGCCAGAGAGAGCCAGGATACAACCCAGGTCTGCCTCACTCCAAAGCCCTTGTGTTTGTTCCTTCTCAGCACCTCGGAGAAAAGTGTTCAGTGCGAGCCGAGCTGCGGGTGAGGGAGGAGGCCCATTGAGGGGAAGGCAGGGTTGTGACGCCATGGCACAGGCTTGAGGGAAGTTTCAGGCTCGGCTTCACCTGACTCAGGCCTCTGTCTCTCATGTCTAGAGCAATGGCCCTAGGAAACCAGTTCTGAACAGTGTTCACCTTGTGTGCTTGTTGACTCTGGAGTGAAATTACAATTCAATGCCATTATCAGCTAGTAATTTTACACGTGAAAAAATCTGTTCCATCGTCACAGGCTATGTTCACAACCCCAGCTCAGATGTCTTGCTGTAGTTAGTCACAACGGGGTGTGGGCTGCAGGGAGGCTGTGACATGGGAGCAGCCAACACAGGGGAAGTCATTCAAATGACCAGGCTTACCAGTGGCTGGCCAGAGGATTTTGTATTTGAAGGGCAGCCAAACCAGATTTACCCAAAATTAGATAACACTTATCTGCTAAAAATTAACTTCATTATCCATCATTACAACAGACTAAATATTGACAGAACTTATAACAATTAATTGCAAATTAAATCCTGCAAGCCAGGCAAGGTGGCTCCTGTCTATAATCCCAGCTACTTGAAACATGGAGATCGGGAGGATCAAGGTTTGAGGCCAGCCCATGCAAAAAGTTCATAAGACCCCATTTCAACCAACATCTGGGTGTGGTGATGCACACCTGTCATCCCAGCTATATGGGAAGCATAAATAGTAGGATCACGGTCTAGGCGAGACCCTATCTGAAAAATAACTAAAGCAAAAAGGGCTGGAAGTGTGGCTGAAGGGTAGAGCGGCTGCCTAGAAAGAGCAAGGCTCTGAGTTCCAATCCCAGTACACCAAAAAAGAAAAAGTCATGGCAGTGCTGTTTTTAAAATTAGTGTTTAAATTACTCATCACCTATTGGTTCCTCTCTGTCTCCTATCAGTTTCTCTTTGCAGAGGCAACAGTTCTTCCCCTTCAATTCTGTCCATATCTGAGAACTTTTTACCCTCTCTCCAAATCCTGGCCATGTATTAATCCCCTTCTGGGGAGAGAAGCTCCCTGGGATCCCTGCCTAGTTTGCCCTCTGACCCCAATTCTTCAAGCAAAATGATCATTGAGCAAATGTGTTGGTGTGCAAATTTTTCAAACTTAAGACAACTGATGGGAAAACAAATGGGGATATTTATTTCATTAATAAGATTGGAGACTTCCGTTCTATTTAGAATGTTTTTTGAGAAATCAAAATTACCATTTTTCAATAAAGTTAAAATTTATTCATTCTGAATAATTGTCGGGTTAAGTATTTTATTCCTGTCATAAGAAACAAGTTGGCAGAGATCTTAACGATAGAGCAATGCTAGCATGTTGAATTTTCATTCATATATTCAACTCAAGTGTCAGAATTTTACCAAGGTAGGGCTACAGAGATGTAAGAAGCAGCCTGTGCATTCAAGTTACGTAAGTCTGGTGAAAGAGACTGATGGGGCAATAATTATGAAACAGAGTCCTGGGCTCCCAGCAGACCAGAACAGAGAGGAGTGGTACTGAACTGGGGCTTCACAGATGGGTCAGGTTCAAGTTGAAGGAATTAGAATGAAGGAGCCACAGGTGGATGGAGAGTTTCTCTTTAAAAGCCTGGCTTTGGTTGGTAAGCGTGGAAAAGCAGGAGGAGGACACATGGCCAAGTCCTGTGGGCCTTCCCAGAGACTGAACTGCTGTGCTGACAGTACAAGGGCAGTGGGAGAGGCGGTGACAAGTTAGGTAGTAGGTGGTGAGGTCAGACAGAGGTTCCACAAGGCCTGAGCAAGATGGGTCACCTTCGGAGGGCTTGAGCAGAGAATGAAAGGATCTGATGTGTTGGAGAGGGCTGCACTTTGTGTAGTGAACAGACCAGGGCAGAGCTCTGAGGACAT